GCCCATCACTGCAGGGAAGACCCAGCAGCAGGGGCTGCTCACATCTTAGTGGATGGGGAACTGGCGCTCAGCTGGCTTTCTCCTTTCTCCCATTTTTATTCAGGCAGGACCCCAGCCGATGAATGGCCTGCATTCAAAGTGGTTCTCCTGGCTGGCTCAGAGCAATCCTCTCCTTAAAAGCCATCAGAACTCCCCTGCCACACACACACATACACAAAGTGAGTCTCATGAATGTTCTAGATGCTTATTAATCCAATAAAGTTGACAATCAAAGTTAGCCAAGGTAAAAATCTGAAAGGGGTGTAAATGGGTAGAGAATGAGCCAGAGCAAGGCCTCTGGGTGTTCAATGAAAATGCCAGTTATAAGTCACAACAGGAGCAAAGATATTAAGTGATAGTCACAATCATACAGAAGCTGGACTAGGTGGTGCACACCTTTAATCCCATCACTCAAGAGGCAGAGGCAGATAGATATCTTGAGTTTGAGGTCAGGCTGGTCTACAGAGTGAGTTCCAGGCTAGCCAAGGCTATATAGTAAAATTGTCTCAAAAACAAAACAGAAGTAATACTGAAACCTCATTTCACCAGTAGCTTGAATTTTATCCCCATCACATCTTTAGATCAAACAATTTTTCTCAATTATTGCAAGATGTCCATTCACTTTTGTATGTGTGTACTTGTGTGTGCACATGGGTGTACATGTTCGTGTGTGCACATGTGGTAGCCGAAGTCCACATCGAGTGTCTTCCTCGGTAGCTCTCCTCCTCTTTCTCTGTTTCAGAGACAGGGTTTCTCACCAAACTCGGAGCTCATGGAGTGGGCCAGACTGTCTAGCCAGCCAGCCCCAGGAGTCCCCACCTCCACCGGCAGTGCTGGCATGGCAGGTGCATGTTGTACAGGTTTCTGTTATGTCTCTTGTTTAATAGCATGGCTGTGGGTCCTCACATGTGTGTGGCAAGTACTGTAACAACCAAACCATCTCTCCAGGCCTGAAGATACTCTTACTTTTTAACAAAAGATTCATTTTATTTTTTATGTGTGTGTATGCATGTTTCTGTGTCTGTGTGTATACACACACATAGATGCCATGAAGTTGAAGTTACAGGCACTTACAACCATATGTGGAATCTGAGAACTGAACTCAGGCACTCTTCACTCCCAGGCCATCCCCAGTCCCAATTCCTCTTCTCTTTTGGTTTCTCTCCCAATATCCAGGTTCATCAAAAAATCAGGTTGGCTGAAAAGAGCGGACAAGAAATTACTCGATACCAAATGGTCCTTTAGAGGATGGAAGTCAACTCTGATTCCTTTTGAAAACGGGGCATAATTGATATAGCAAGTTTATTTGCTTTGCATGTCTGGACATTAGCCATCGACGGTGATTCATTCCAGCTCTCTGAGGCTACAGCCTTAAATGTGGTCATTTCTAGGATTACAGTCAGGAGGGCACAACCGTGTTGAGAGGGGCAAGGTGGCCTTCAACAGCATCAGCAGTGGGTGCTGGCTGTTGGTCAAGACTCCTTGGTCCTTCTTCATTAGGTTTCCATCCTCCAGCAGGTGATACTGGACAACAAGTGGTATCATACTCACAGGAAAGCAAGAATGGGACTGCAAAGCCTCTTTAAGGCCTAGGCTGTGGAATTCCCTTTCTCCACGTTCTACAGGTTAAGTGAGCCATATGCCTTCTCACATCCATGGCATGGGTATACAGACTCTAGCACAGTGTCCAAGCAGGAAACCGATTAGCTACTCATCTCTCCGTGCATTTCATGGATTTCCCCAAAAGCATCTGGAGCTGGAAGCAGAGGCAAGACACAGAGGCAGGAGATCTTTATGGGCAGAGTGCAGACCGTGGTGGGGTGCCACACCCTGCAAACTCCTATATTGTCAGGGCCTTGCTGAGTGGAAATCAGAGAGCTTAGAGGGTGGGAAGCTTAGAGATTGCAGGTGCTAGGCTGCCCTATCCTAATTGGATATGGTAGCGCAGGGAGAGCCAAACAGGGGAGAAGTAAGAAACTCAAACAGGTGGGTACAGAGAGCCAAATGAGACAGGAATCCCTCCTCCCAGGTTACATGGTAATATAGCCACAGTCTTGAGCCTCGTGTTTCTGCTTGCTTTCTTATTTGCTATTTATTATCTTATGTGTCTCTGTGTATGTCTGCTAGTCTGTATGTGTACCGCATATATACATACATACATACATACATACATACATACAAGTACCTTCGGAGGCCAAAAAAGGGCATCAGATCCTATGAAACTGGGGTTACAGGTAGTTGTGAACCACTTGACCTGGGTGCTGGGAACCAAACCTGGGCCCTCTGTTGCAGGACATCAGTTTACACTGTGCTCAGGCACCTCTGATCGGTTTAATAAAGAGCTGAATGGCCAATAACTAGGCAAGAGAGGATAGGAGGGACTTCTGGAGAGAGATGGGAACTCTGGGAGGAATCTGAGGCATGGGGAATTTGCCAGCGAGACGTGGGGAAGTTGAATGTACAGTATGGGGGAGAGGTAACGAGCCGTGTGGCAGAATGTAGGCTAATATAAATGGGTTAAGTTATGAGTTATTAGGAATGAGCCTAAGCTAAAGCCAAGTTTTCATAATTAATAAGAAATCCCCGTGTCATCATTTGGGGGCTGGCAGTCTAAAGAAAATCTGATAACATTCCTCTGAAAGAGCACCATGGGCCCCTACTCAAGTACTTTTTTTTTCTTTTAAGTAAGGGGATTGTGTTTAAGATTTTACTTTTATTTTATGTGTATGAGTGTTTGCTTACATGTATGTATATGCACCATGTGTGTCCCTGGAAGGCCAAAAGAGAGCACTAGATCGCCTGGAACTGGAGTTACAGACAACTGTCAGCCACCATGTGGGTGCTGGGAACTGATCCAAGGTCCCCTGTAAGAGTAGCAAGTGTGCTTAACCACTGAGCCGTATCTCCAGCCCTTAGGTTTCATTTTTTGAAGCCTCTGACATTTTGCAATAGCTTCCTGATGCAAGAGGTTATGACTGTCTTCAGTGTGCAGTGTGCACATGAGCTTTTCAAGTCCATTATGGTACCCAACACAGGAGAGGACTACAGTTCAAATATTGGAAGTGAAAGGGGGTAATCGTTATGATCTTACTAACAGGCAAAGCTGGGCGGGAGTAGGGTGTATGACGAGAGTCCTGGCCCATCCTTCCCTCCATACACTCAAGCTTCTGTTGCAGGAAGGGTGCTTTAGACTCCTCCAGAACTTGAGATTTAGAAACTATCTTGCCAGTCAATGTTTGGTGTTCCTAGGCAGTCCAATGTTCTTTTCCAGTGTCTGATGGGGTCATTACTGGAGAATTGTGAGTACAGAAATACTCTTCCTCACCAGGCATTTGGTGAGTCCTTCCTCTTCTTCTTCTTCTTCTTCTTCTTCTTCTTCTTCTTCTTCTTCTTCTTCTTATTATTATTATTATTATTATTATTACTCTTTCTTCTTCTTTCTCCTCCTCCTCCTCTCTTTCTCATCCTCCTCTTCACAACAAATAGAAACCACTTTCTGTAATTTCTACCTCTGACCTTTAAGTCTATAGTCAGCACTAGACAAATGAAACCCGTAGTGTTCTCTCACAAGCCTTCTTTCAAAGCGAGTTTCCCCCATTGGCGACTACATGACAAGAGTTGCCTAGCTGCCTTAATGAAACCCAAAGGGAACATTGCCTTGAATGACAACATGTGGCAAGTTCAGGGCCTGTGTATACCATCATGGTTTTGAAATGTGTGGTTAAAGACATCAAGAGTTGACAGATTAGTTGGGGATTTGTCAAGAGTATTAATTACAGACTTGGAAACCCTGGTCAGTTACAGTCTGTCTTGTCGCATCTTGCAAATGTGATCAAAGTCTTTTCAGTACTTATTTGATGGTGCCTAAGCCTCCGTGTGTGAAGAACGAAGCTTTTCATTAGGAATCACTGGTGCAGTGGGGCACATTTTTAAGGAAGACGCCCTTGAATGTGTCCCCCCACCTCCACACTTCTTCCCACCTCCCTCTTTCATTTGGGCAGTCACTATAGTTTCTGAACACCTGAAATTTTTTTTGAGGGGGCTGTTGGGGGGGGGTCTTAAAATATGGACAGCACACAAAGATAAAGATGGGGCCCCTAAAAGTGGTTTTTAAAACTATAAAAACAAACCATGAAGCCTGAAGGTTGTTGTGATATAGTCAGTCAAAGAAATGTATAGCTAGCTTTATGAAGAAGACTTGAAAAAATGTCAGAGTCACAGTATGGAGCTGCTTTGGGAAAAGAAAAACAGGCCTCTGCCCTTGCGCGTGCTGGCACCTAAATCATGGAAAGTGAAATAGAAACACAGCCAACCAGTGCAACTTCTCCAAAGCTCTAGCCTGCCACATCCCCCACCCCACCCTCCACCCCCACACACTTCTTCTGGGAAGTCTATCCGGATGTACCTGCACTGGCTAGCAGATTGCAGGCGACCGCTCGTCCATTTTGCACAGTTGGAAAGCGCGGAAAGTGATCAGCACCTAGTCTTGGCTTGCTTGGTGGTCCACTCACTCCAGGCACGGGGACCCTCGCTTGCTCCTTTCGGGCTTTGTTGGCATCCTTCTGGCGAGATGGGTCAGGTCTTTTCGGCCCCTCGTCTTTTCAGAGGCTTTTATTGTCAGTTGCCTCTGCGCGCCAGAGGGTGGCACTCCAGAGGTGAAGAAGGGCAGGAAGAAGAAAAGGGAGCGGAGAGGAGGCAGCGTTCATTCTCAACCCCGAGTCTCTGGTTACCAGGATAGCATTGGGAAAGAGCCCCTATCCTTAGACCCTTAGGGGAAAAACCTAGATTTCGGCCGGACCTGAGGGTCAGAGACTTAGTAATTTTAAAGAAGACACAGGTTGTTTAGAAACAATAACTTCCTGTGTTGTGAATTTCTGCTCTCCTGAGTGATTGGGGGCGGATGGAAAGTCCTCCGTGAGCGCGCCCACACCCGACCTATCCCTTTGTGTCGTGTTTTGCAGTTGCTGGATTTGTGCGAGTCCGTGAGGGATGACGCCCTGAAGGTGACCTCTGCTTTCAACATTCCACACACCATCCTCCATGCACCAATCGCAGGAGTCCCCAACCCCCGGGCTGCCTGGGCCTTCTACCCGGCGCCTATGCCAACGCCGGTGCGGGAAGGAGCGCGCTCCCAGCTGTCCAAGCTGTGAGCCAGGCTTTTGCCGGCGAGTTGAGAAATGTAGTGGCCGGTCCGCAGCTTGCCATGGAGTTCTCTTCAAATAGCTCTCAGAGCTGGAGCAGGGGCAAAAGTGGCAGGTGCAGGACCGCCACCCTTGGGGTTTGGGTCACGCAGAGGAGGAGGTCTGGCTAAGGCTGGCAAGGTTCAGGATAGGTTGTCGGAGACAAGGAGACTAGGCAGATGCCCGGAGAGTACTGTAATTTATCCCAGTCTGGTAACCTCTCCTGGCCCTTGCCTTGACCTCTTCCAGCTGCGGCACTAGATCCCCAATCAGGTGGTCTTGCCCAGAGCCTGGTGCCACCAAAGATCTCTGCTGTCATCGGTGACTCAGATTCCCAGTGACTTCGAAAAATTCTGATGCTGGGTGAAAAAAAAAAAATCAAAACATTAAAATCAAACACCCTCAGGCAAAAGGGTGGGAGGAAAGCTCCACCCACTCCAAGCGCGGGCAAAAGTTCAGCAAGGGATGATTAGTGAACAGACTTGCTCCAGCTCTGCTAGAAAACCGGCTGGCGAGAGAGCGGAGCATGACCCTGGAGTCGAGCTGGTCCCACCAGGTAGGCGATCTCCCGACCGCAGGGCGCACCGCGCTAATCTGTAATCCGCCCTTAAAAAAAAAAAAAAAGAGCGTAGATGCAAAGTTTAATAAATTAAGCGATAGAAAAGTGCTCCCGCGGCTTGGATGGGTAGGGGAGGTGGGCCTGGGGGAATAACTGCAATAAACTGGTTTTGGAATTTGGAGAGACTACACAGGCGGAAATGAATTTCTCATTTATGTCCTGACTTTGGTGTTGCCCAGTTTCATTCTCAAATCTAGCCATCGCCTTGCTTTCCTCTCTCCACACGCGGTTGCCAGCCTCAGAAAGGCACGGGGGACCCACTGGCCTTTCCACGCTGTTCTTCTCTGCTGTCAGATTGATCCCAGGAGTTCTCCTGACGCTGCGGGAGAAGGCTGCAAGGGCCCAGGGGCCCGTGGCCGGCACCTGCCGTGAGGCACTTGGTGGAAGCTCCCTAAACTGCCTTGATCGCTGGTGATGCAAGAGCCTCCGCTTCCAGGCCGGCTTCCTAATTAAGCCCTAAATAAGAGCACCATAGCCCAGCCCTTTGCTTTCCCCAGGGCCTGAATGTTTTCTTTTAGCGTGCCCGGAGTTGCAAAATCGGAAGACTCCGGGCAGCCCGCTCCTACAAAGAAACAGTGGCGATAAGATTTTTTTTTTCTTGTGTAGTTCTTTTCTAGTCGGGTTCTGAGGTTCCTGGCTCCCGGCTGAGAGCGCGGAGCAGGCAGACTTGGTATTGGCTGGGGGCTCTCGGAGCAGCAGCAGACCGGGTTGCATGGGTGGGATGCGGAGTGGCCAAGGCACAGTACGAGCTCTCAGCGTTGGTCAGGATAGACCTGCATCTGCCGCCTACTTGGCGGCATCCACACCAATGCCCTGTGCGCTCTTGTAGCGAACACTCCTCACCCACAGAAGTGGCACGGCTTTGCCACGAGCCCCCCAGCTCCTCTGAGAACCAGTGGCTTCTTTGATCTCCCTCAGGATTCATCTGAGAACCAAGACGCTAGGGCTGTGCTGTGTCACGCTGACGTTAGAACCACTTATAAACACCGAGATGGTCCGACATTGGGACGAGTCACTTGTTCATGAAAGAGTCACTTCCTTCTCTCTGCCAGCCTGGATGCGGGCTGGGTAGCCCTAAAATCGAGTTTCCTTAATCTTCACACGTAGGATACCGGATGCTCCATTTCCAGACCAACTTCACCCGGCCGCCGCGGTGAGAGAGAGAAGGGGTGGGGTGTGTTGCACCATTGACTTCGAGACTTCGATGGCGGGGGGTGGGGCGGTGAGATACGAAGACCTCAGGAGATTTTTCGACCCCCCATATGGCTGCGCGACCTGAACTCGCCAGCTTCGGACAGACAGTTCCTGGCGGTACTCTGTGAACCCAATAAATTTCGAGGCTCCCAACAGAACGCATGGCACAGCCGTCTTTCCTCGGTAGCCCCCCTTTTTTCCTTATACTCTTTTTAGTTACTTTCTCATTCCCCTATTTTATTTGCTTGCCGTGCGCACCCATTGCGATCCAAAGCTGAGCTGCAGACCTAGGATCTTCTTTTGCCTTTCTCTCAACTGTCCTTCCCACCACCAGCTCTGCTTAAGTAGCTGGGCATTGGGGAAAATAACAACACACACACACACACACACACACACACACACACACACACACACACACTCAACCAGGTAGATCATAAATGGCGACAAAAGGCAGTGGCGTTAAAGAGTCCCGCATGAGGCACAGCCGAGGAGGTGTGAATATCTTGCTGATCTGTGTTCCCTGGAGGCCATGAATTCTTGGAGATGACAGTCAAAGGCCAATGCACCAACCCATGGCTTGGGGCTGAGAAGCTCCGCAAAGCAAGGGCGCAGGGACGCCTCCTGAGACTTCCCACTGGTGCCCGCGGCCAAGCTGGACACAGAGCAGTGTGCCCTGAGCGCCCCCTAAGTTCCGCTCTGCGAGGTGGCCGCTGCAGGCGGACAGGGAGGGGCAGGGAGGGGCGGGTACATTCAGGGTGGAGGATGGGCTCGCATGCGGCTGCCCGCGGGCCAAGTCACTAGGGTAAACACGCTGGGGTAGGCGGAGCGCGGGCGCTGCAGGCAAGCTGCGGGGTTACCCTCGCCAGTACCTGTCGCAGCCTGCACGCGCCAGCGGCCTAAGGGCCGCGGGGGGGTGGGGCTTGCTTTCCGGTTCGCGGAGGGCCGGACCGAGCGGGGGCGGAGCCCGCGGTGATTGGGCACGGGAGCGGGGGCCCAGTAGGAGCCGAGTCGCTGGGCCAGGCTGGTTTCACTTCGCTCCCCGCAGGCACTGGGTCACCAGCTGTTTGGAGCTCTGCGGTCCTTGCCGCCTTCGCCGTCACCGGATTTCTGCAGCCGCTCTGCGAACTGTGCCCCACTTGCATCTGCACAACCTCTGCCGCTCCCCGCCGCCACCTCCTCGGCGCCCTTCCCCGGCCCTCGTCCCCCAATGTCTGACTCTGATTCTCGGACTGAGAAACGCAAGGTAAACACTCCGCGATTCGCGATTCTCGGGGGCGCCCGCCGGGGACCGATGGAAGAAGACAGGCGCCGCAGGCGCAGAGCGGCTTCATCTGTCTCTGGTGTCGCACGTGCGGGTGGAGGCGCTGGTTTGTCCCGCTTGGCGCGCGGCTGCAGGAGGCGAATGCCGCGAGTCGCGCCGAGGTCCCTGCCTGGCAGGGCACTTCTGGGAAAGGGTCGTAGGCACAGAAGCTGCGAGCACTGAGCCGAAGTCTGGCTTGGGCTGCGATGCCGCACGAAGGGCTAGTGAGGCACCTCTCGCGGGCCGGGAGGGCGCGTAGTCTCGGCTTGGAGCCGAGGACCCGTTCCGTGGTGCCCGGCCGTACGTCCAGCCGGGAAGCGTCGCCGCGAGCCAGGCGGCCCGGGAGAAGTAGCCGCGCGTTAGCCGCGGGCCGGTAGACTTGGCTCTTTGCTGGCGCGGCTTCATTGCGGAGGTTTGAGTATTAAAATCACACGCGCCTAGACTTTGCTTGTATTCATTCAAGCCACGGTTTGGCCACAGTGGCCGATTTCGCTTTCCCGGATGTCCCTGGCGGCCCTGTCCAGTAGTTTGCGAGCGTCCTATGGACGCTGAGGGCCACAGTGTCTACAGGAGCTGAAAGACCCCCTAGGACTCCCAGGACCACTTAGGCCACGCGTGTTCCGAGCCCCGGCCAGCTGACTGCCCGGTCGGCTCTATGGAGCGGGATCGCACCGGGACCCAGTCGCACAGGCTGGTGGCTTGTGAGCTCCCGGGCCTCTTGCCCCCAGGCAGGCGCTGCTTATGGAGGGCTAACTGGACGCTGGGGGTTTGGATGTACACGCCAAGACCCGAGGTGGTCGTTCATATTGGGTGCGTGTCGGTGGCACATGGGGCACAACAGGTGAAGTTGCAGAGAAGTTCGACTCGGGACTGCGGAGGGTCTTTGCCTCCAGCGGCCTGGAGTGGGATCGTGGCCCGGTGGATCCCAGGAGGACGCGGGTCCCGCTTTGTCTCTAGTGTCCCGCTGCCCAGGCGGCGGGAACTCCCGCAGGGCGCGCGGCGACCGGGCCCGGCCCAGGGGCGGGGCGGGGCGCGGAGCGAAGCAGCCCGGCCCCCTAAGTTCCAGCCAGAGTTGCGGCGGCCGGCAGAGCCGGAGCGGCGCTGGGCGGCGAGTTTGTCAACAATCGCCTCGCCTTCGGCTGCCTGACCCGTAGGCGCCGCCCTCGCCGCCTCTGCCCATTGGCTACAATGGGGAGCCACCGCGCGCGGGCCAATGGGGAGCACTGGCAGCCGGCGCCAGCGGCGCAGGGCTGGCGGTACCCGCGCGGCGGCGGGAGCTGCGCGCGAGGGGCGGAGCGGGAGGAGGCGGAGGATGATCCCGGCGGCGGCCGGTGCAGCGCGGGCCACAGGCGCGGCGCGCGAAACCTTGGGCTCCCCGGCGGAGCGTGGCGGCGGGCGGACGGGCAGGCGCGGGACTCTGGAGCCCAGGGCCCGGCTTTGTTTTCCTTGCCTCCTCGGCGGCGACGCTCTGGGGTCGTCCGATCGGCGCAGGACACCGCACTCGGAAGGGAAGGGGAGGACGTGAGTCTCGTCGTGGTGGCCCGGGGAGGGAAAGAGTCTCCGGGGTGGAAGCAGCCGCGCGCCGGGTATTGCCGAGCGCGCTCAGTTAGGTGTGAAGCTTGCAAAGGGGATGGCTCTGAAGGCCCCCATTTGGAAGTGTACACATTCGGGCAAGGTTGCTCCCGAGAGAAGTGGTTTCGTGTTTGGGGTGGCGCGCAGGGGCTGGCAGCAGGAGGGACCTTGCGGCCGAGGGCGCTCGACCCGGGCGGAGCTGCGCTCAGAGTTACAAACTCTATTGTGACGCACTTACTACGACTGACGGCCGCTGCCAAACCTTCTCCAGACTTGCTGCCCTCAGCATTTTCGGCAAACAATGGGGCCGGAGCAGGGAAGGCGGCCAGCCGCCTGCAATCTCTGCATCTGCGCCCGCTCCTGTGCTCCAGCGTCGCGTCTGAGCCCGGGAAATGAGAGCCCGCTGGGACTTTCAGACTTAATTCAAGTTTGTCCTGAACGAAAAGCACGAAATGTAGTAGGCTTCCCACAAGCTGCTCCTCATGAAACTTCTGTGCTTGTGTATGTGCGTGAGCGCACCGACTCCACAAGCTATGGAGTTGATACTTTGTTTTGTTTGGTGGTCTAATTTAGTTCCACCCTGCACCAAAATAAACACCTTCATTATTTTGGATGCACTTTTAATCTTACTTGGAAGATGATCAGAAAAGTAAACATAACAAAGTATAAGATTGACTCTAGGATTCGTAAGGAGTAGATGGAATGATTTTATAACTTAGTTTGCTGAAGATAATCTTTTTTTTCTTCCCGATTTCCTTGCAGAAAAAAAGACCAAATGGCCAAGCAACCTTCTGATGTAAGTTCTGAGTGTGACAGAGAAGGTGGACAATTGCAGCCTGCTGAGAGGCCTCCCCAGCTTAGGCCTGGGGCCCCTACCTCCCTACAGACAGAACCGCAAGGTAATCCCGACGGAGGCGGCGAAGGGGACCGCTGCCCCCACGGCAGCCCTCAGGGCCCGCTGGCCCCACCGGCCAGCCCTGGGCCTTTTGCTACCAGATCCCCACTTTTCATCTTTGTGAGAAGATCTTCTCTGCTGTCCCGGTCCTCCAGTGGGTATTTCTCTTTTGACACAGACAGGAGTCCGGCACCCATGAGTTGTGACAAGTCAACACAAACCCCAAGTCCTCCTTGCCAGGCCTTCAACCATTATCTCAGTGCGATGGGTAAGCCATGCCCGGGTAAGAAAAGAGGCAGTTGGTGTGTGCTTGTTTGAATACAGGCTTCAAGGATGTGGGTGGCCTTTAAAGCCTTGGTCAAATGACTTGTTCTATATTTTGATGGAAACGGAAGACGTTTGGAGAGCTCAACACGTTTTTGTAATTTGTAAATTTTGTGGCATGAATTTATGGAAGTACAAACATCATCAACCTGTTGAGCTGCAATGTTTGAGTCTCTGCAGCCTTCAAGCCGAAGTGTATAACCAGGGTATAATTGGTCTCAACCACTAAGCTTAGATATTAATGTCATTGTGTTAGAAAAGGACCTGGTCAGATATATAAAATAGTTTAATAACCACTGGGGGTGTGAAGAAAGAGATGGGCAAATTGATCATCTCTGAAGACAGGCTCCACAGAGGTTGTCTTCAGCAGACCCAACATAGAACCCTGAAGATGCTTTTACGCCCAAATCCCCCTTTAAGCTCCTTCTTGCTTCAAGGGATTGGATTTAGTATGGATGAGATTAGATTGTGGATTTTTATTTCAAGGGCTAAAGTCAGTGTTAGAATCTTTTTTTAAAAAAATACATCCTTATTTCTGAGATTTCATTCATGCATACAGTCTCATTTGATCAAACTCATTCCCCTGCCCCTAACAACTCCCAGATCTTTGTGAGACTCTTAAACCAAGAGAACAAATTCATGGTGATGCACAAAAAAACTGGTGAGGGAACAGAGCCAGCAGGCTCAGTGGCATTTTGCAGAGTGTTTGCCCCATCAGCATTAAGGTTGCCCCGGATGATGGCTGTGGGGACGTGAGGTCTTAGAGTGCCATGGTTTCTACAGTGCATCATAACCAGGCCTGCCGATTCTGAAGTCAAGTATCCCAACATTCAAACATTGACAACTTCTTTAGCTCCTGTAGTGACTGTTGAAAGTCAGATTGAGACATCTGTAGACTGGATTTGACTCTTTAGACCTCTTAGCTTGTGACTGGGGCTGTGCACATTTCTGGTTCACCTCAGGGAAGAGATGGCTCTGCATGTCACTTCTCCACCAAAAGCAAAAGTATGTATTTTGATCCTTATCATCCACAACCATGTTTGGTATGTGTCCGGCTAGCCTGTCCTGCAGAAGACATCAGGAGCTTGTTCGTGGTATCAGTTAGCACATTTGATATCTAAGCCATATGTTAGCTGCGCGTTGCCTGAGTTCTGGGCACTGTTAAGCCCTCCTAACTGAAAGGAGCTGGAAGTCTTATGTCCGCTATTACTTTAGCTATCACTTGTAGTAGTGTTTCGGAACAGGCGCCTGCCACCGTTCTACCATGAAGTAGCCTAGCATATGCATACATCTACAGCATGTGCTGAGTTAACGGGGCTCCCTGGCATATGTGCTTAAAAACCTATGCATTTAAGGACCCTCTGGAAGCTATGAGAGTTTCACACTGCTGGCCAGGGTAATGATCTCTGCAGGTGGTGGGGTAATCTGGGGAAATATTTTCTCCTTCCCTGTTAACTAGGAACAGTGGATGAGCCAGTGTCTTTTAGTTCTAATGTGAAGAAAGTCACAATTGTTTTATTTGGGGTCCTGTACTATTAGGAAGCTAAATATAATGTCATTCACCATGATTTGAGATGGCAGGTACAGGACTTTAAAGATCACAATCTAAATTCTTAGGCAGAGTTAATGGTTGTACCTTTGCGGTGTTAGCTACACTCCAGGAGTTTGGGAAGGTACCTTGAGGTGAATGCATAGGTTAAAAAATAAGTTACTGGGTTTGTGTGAAGTTAATGCACCAAGGTAGGTTTTTAACAGTGTGTTCTTGGGAGTTTTGCTTGGGGAGAGGGTATGTTGGGATGGGATGGGTAATAAGACTTAGCTGGATGTGATAGGAGACATATTAAATACACGTAAAATGTTTGTCCACAACTGATGTTTTTTTCTGGCTAGTCTCACAATCTTGCTTCTGCCTATAGACTGCTTAGGCTGAGCCGAGATGGGGTCTCCATCTTTATGGACTTGTTTAGTGTTTTTTACTCAACCATTAAGATCTTCAATGGTGCTTTTGATAAGTTATTGCAAAATACATTTTTCACAAAGGAGCCTTTATGATTGGTATGACCCACTGGAACACAAATGGGAGGTTACACAGAGGTCCTGCTTAGCTAGGGGCTCCTCTTCCCCCCTGGCAGCATGTGATAGGAGACACAGGGCGTGACTTAAAAGCCATGTCCTTGTATCCTTCCCCCACTAATTTCTTGAGATTGAACCTTGGGCTTTCCCCTTAAGGTAAATTCTCCTCTACTGAGCTGAACCCCACATCCTTGTGTCTGAGTCTCATTGGAGACACCCAGCAGGTAGACACTGTATTAGGATGTCTTCCAGTTTCCTCCATATCCGATTTTTCTGAAAACATCTTGAAAGAACATTTTGTTTACACTGTGGAGGTCAGTGTAATGAAACTACCCCTTTACTTGATATTCACCTCCATATACTTGGGAAGGATTGACTTGCCAAACTCTTTCTTGGTGAACACCTGATTATCTTAATAAAAACCTTCCGCACACCCACCGGCTGCCTTTTATCTTGTTTTTGTTCCATATGTGTTTTCCGCATCACTTGATCCTCGTACACATTCTCAATCTGAGGCCTAGGCAGTATGAACTGGAAATGCAGAGAGGATGAATGGTGATTGACAGTAACGTCGCTGTGTGGTGTTTGTGAATATCTTAAACTTTAGACTTGTTTCTGGCATAGCAGAATTCACGGGTGATGGTTAATTTTCTTCTGTGTACCCCTCAGCATCCTATGGCAATTGGCTTCTTTAGATTGAGAGCCCCCTGCGGGGGATTGGACATCTGCCTGATGCTGGAGTGTGCCTAACAGAAGACACCAAGTGTTGGGATCTGTAGAGCTCTGTCTGTGAGCTTGTCTATGGAGTTGTGTTTTGTTTTCACCATACTGGGAGCAGAACTCAGATCCCACATAGAGCAGGATTTGATAACATATATCTAATCCCAGCACATTTGTGGTGAGATCGGAGGTGTCTTCTGATCTCTGAGTTTGTGCCCCCTATCACAGACACAACACACGTGTGTGTGTGTGTGTGTGTGTGTGTGTGTGTGTGTGTGTGTGTACACAAGTAAATGAAGTAATTTCTTGGGCGGTCCCTGTAGACACTCGCGTCATCTGCGCATAGGGACTGTTTCATTTCTTTCCCTGTCCTGCTGCACCGACTAGAACTTAGTAATTATGTTGGATAGAAGTCATGAAAGCAGCCTCGGGGGACAGCAGCTTTCTGTCTAAAGAGAAAAATCATTAACTGTGTAACTATGTTGGCTATAGGTATTTTGAAGATACTTTTATAAAAGTAATAAAAATTAGGAAGTTTTACCCTGACTCCTAGGTTCCTGAGAATTTTCAGAGTTAGGTTTTAACGATGTGTTTGCACTGTGACTCTGTTAGCCTGTTTGCGTGGTGTGTCACTGTGTTTGATTTACATGGTTAAATGCTATCTGTATGCCTGGGATAAACCCTGCTTGGGCAGAACATATTATTTGTATACAGTGCTGGACTGAATTGAGTATTTTATTGAGAGATTTTCACACCTTGAGAGGTGTCCGTCATGGCTGTTTGCTTTCGATATTAAGGACTCAATGAGTTGAGAAATAGTCCTCCTCTTGTATTTCCAGAAGAAACTGTGAAAAAGCAGTATTAATGCTTTTGGATTTTTGTTTGTTTGTTTGTTTGTTTGTTTGTTATTTTTTGAGATAGGGCCTAAGTAGTCCAGGCTGGCCTTGAACTCACTACGTAGCCAAAGATGTGCTTGTTGCTTGATCGTCTGATCCTCCAGCCTCCACTTCCCAAGTGCCGAGATTACAGGCATGTGCCCCTGTGCCCTTTTGTATGCAGTGCTGAGGATTGAACCCAGGGCTTCGTGCATGGTAGGCAAGCATTCTGCTAACTGAGCCACAATCTCAGCCAGTATTGACTCCTCTTGTGAGAATGTGGCTGTAGACATCTTCCGGGAGGGAGGGTGGAGGATATACATTTTAGATTCTAGACTTAATTCTGTGTGTTTATGTGCTTCTGGGACTATTTTGGATGTTGGCTTCATCTTGATTATACTTTGGTGGTTTGTGGGTTTTGAGAAAGGGGTACATTTTTCTAATTTGTTGGGTTTATGGATGTAAAAAGCATTTGTAGCATCCTTGTAGCATCCTTGTTGTTTTAGATGAATGTGGATTCTGTTGTAATAGCTACTGTGGCAGCTCCCATAGACTGATTTGTTTGAGTATTTCATCCCCCACTGGTAGAACTGTTTGGGATGGATTAGGAGGTGTGGCCTTGTTGGATTCGGGCATTGAGGTTTCAAAGGCCTGCAGCCAGCAACAATATGCCCTTTGAGGATAAAGATGTGAGCTCTCAGCTGCTGGTCCAGCTGCCCCTTCATCTCTCTGCCATCAAAAGCTTTGGCCCCCTGGGACCTTAAACCCAATTAAACTTTATTTTATAAGTTGCCTTGGTCTTGGTGTTTTATCTCAGCAATAGTAAAGTAACTAAGACAGCTTCTTTCCTGATGCTGGTAATTTGTGTTAAGAACAAACAACAAAAACACCTGTCAGCCTTTTTAAGGTTTATTTTCTTGCTTTTTGAAATAGGTGATTTTTGTTTCATTGATTTTTTTCCCCCTGTGTTCGCCCTATATTTTGTTCTCTTTGCTTTTTGTTAATGATTTCCATGCAACTCCAGCTTCTTGAGCCTAGGAACATAGAGTCTGGTTTTGAGGCCTTTCTTTTTGCTGATGTGAAGCACTCAGTGCTGAAAATGTCCGCTCGCCCGTGCTGGGGCTGTCGCCCACATGTTTGGGTGCAATGGTTTTCATGTTCATTGAACTTGTGTGTACATCTTTGTTTTCTTTGGCTGAGAGCTACTTAGATGCAGAGTTTCCTTTATAATACTTGAGGGTCTCCTCTCGTCTTTCTGTTACTCCTTTTATACTTC